GATTAATTGCCGCTTTGAACGATTACGTAATTGTGGCATCCATAATTGTAATCACGATTAGAAATTCGATTAATTGTGCAGCCCTACTGTAAATTATGTACAGTCACCCCAAGAAGTGCCCTCAGGAACCCAGATGTGTCGGCCATCCTCGGGACAGGAAGCAGAACTCCTCGTTTCTTTAACACACCCCGTACTAAAGGCAGTCTGAGCATGGTGAGTGACCAGAATTCATATGAACATCCGTTATTCATCGTGACTCTGTATATTTAGCTTGTATGATGTAAGTGGTAACTGTTTTGCCTGGGGTTTTTGTTTGTTGACACTTCAGAACTTGGATGACAGTGATTGGACGAACAGTCTTTACCCGTCTCCTCTGTCTGGACTGGTGGACACCAGCTTCACTGAGGATGTCAGCATGAGCGCTCTCATGCTAAAGGAAGATGATCCCGGAGAGGCTGGTAAATAATCATAATGATCATCATCACCACAAATGAAGTGACTGGTTTACATGATTTACAGCTCTCTCTCTCCCTTTTTCTTCTCCCAGCTTCTCTTGGTTTGTTTCCTGATTTTCTGCAGTCATATTTACGTCATGCATCCACAGATGTGTTTGATCTTTTAGAGGAGTATGAGGCTCTCTGTCAAGATAAGGTACATGCCTAGTAGTTCATAGACAAGACTGGGAATTTCAGAATCATGTGATTTTAAATTAGAGTTTAATTTAGTAGAAATGAGTAATTATTTACAATATAAATTTAATATATAATATAAGTTCTCTATCTTTTTTTAAATAGAAAAACTAAATGTTTTGAATGGTAGCTAAATGAAAATGTTGCCATGGCAAACTGAAAAAAAACAACTCCTTCCTGAGACTTGTAATGTGCTGACCTGTATTGTAGGTTAGTATGTTGCAGAAAATGGTTCTTCGATCGGCCCCTGGTCAGCAGAATTCCTCCAAGACAGTCAGCATTACCTGGTTGCTGCAGCAAGAGATGGTGACCTGGAGACTCATCACTTCGCTGTACAGGTACAACACTCTCATACACTGCTGATCAAAGGTTTGGCGTAAAATGAAGAAATGAATCATTTTATTCTGCAAGGATGCATTAAATTGATCAAAAGTGACAATAAAGGCATTTATAATGTTTCTAAAGATTTCTATTTCAAGTAAGTGTTGTTTTAAATCTCTATTCATCATTGAATCCTGAAAAAGATTGTATCACAGTTTACTCTAAAATATTAAGCAACACAACTGCTATTTTTCTTGCTTACATACTGTTATAATTCTCTCAAATACAGAGACAGAATCCATACAGTTTTAGAGGAAGACATCATGATGGATATAACTGTAAGTGCGTTTGTGTTACACTGTACTGGTCTACATAGATGGAAAACATGAATGTCATTGCATTATATTACAAAATGTCAAACCTTATGATAGCACAAGTAGGGGTGTGCTATATATATCGTCTGCGATAATATCGTAATTGTTGTTATAACGATTTGCGATTTGACATTATCAAGTATTTTGTAAAAACCATTCAAAACACCCCTACAGATCTTTGACAAAAAAAATAATTCCAAACACAGCCACAGCGCTGTTCATTCCTGAATGAATCAACCATTTAAATGATTTGGTTCAATCGCAATGACTCACTTATTAACAGTGACTTGCTGCCACCTACTGGCTGGTTTAGTATGACATTTAAAGTATCTTTTTATTATTTAAATAATTTCAAAAATAAATATTCAACGGTTTATGTTTAATATATCAAAACATTATTCGTGCATTTGTAATTGCAGATTAAATGCGTTCATGTCCTGCACTAAACATTGTGTTAATTCATCTAAATGCCACTTCAGATGCAGCTTCTGTTTCCTCTGCATTGCAAAGATGAATTTTGTTGATACTGATTTCATTTGCTTGGTAACACCCCACATGATTTATTATTCTAATTGACTGATTAAATGCATGAATTTGATTCAAAAGATAATGCACGCTTTATAAAGGTAAACTGCCCATCAATGTAAACTTATTGGAAAAGATTCATTTCTATCAGTGTGAACTGACTATAAAACATTTTTCAATATTGCACACCCCTAAGCACAAGCACATTGTTCAAACAAAAGATTTCGCAAAATTTAGCCTGTTTTTAAATGATAAAACAGTAGACATACTGTCCAAAATGAACAAACAGTGCTCAAAAACTTTTAGAATGTCATTTGTGTCATTGCCACTTGGTGAGATATTTTGTGTTCATTGCAGTGACATTCATACATTAATGGTGACTTAAGCGTGTATATTTTTTGGAGCCACTGCGTATGAACTTGTGGTTGTATTTTCTCTGGAGATGCCCACTGAGAGTGAGAAGGCAGTAATGGAGCAGTTCTTCCAGAAGGGCAATATGGTGCGACAGAGCCAGGTACACATGCATCCATTTACACCCATCCTGCTTGTTTCTGCATGGAAAAAACACTTTGCTCAGTATCTTGTGTGTGTGTGTGTGTGTGTGTTCATTTAGCTGGTGGTGGATTGGTTGGAGAGTATCGCCAAAGATGAGATAGGAGACTTCTCTGATAACATTGAATACTACGCCAAATCTGTGTACTGGTAAGGGATATCACTGCTTATTTATATTATTGAACATCTCAAAACTCAGATTTGAATGCAGGTTGATCTTTTATGGTGGATTGTTTATGTGTAGGGAGAACACACTCCACACCCTGAAGCTGAGGAGGAATCAATCCAGTGGTGGTTTTAGCAGGCCACTGGTCACAGAACTGGATCCCGATGCTCCCATCAGACAGAAGAGACCACTGGCAGACCTGGACAGAGAGGACGACACTCGCCTGCTCAAAAACCTCTTTAACCTCATACGAGCTGGCATGACTGATGAGGTGTGTTTTCTGATAGGGATTGTTATGGGTGTTTTATAGTCGACTATTGTAACACTACAAAACAAGTAATTGATTACATGTAATGTTTGTGACCAAAACCAGAAAATTTTATATCACCGATAGCAATTTCAAAACACAGTTTCGAAAATTATTTTTATGTTTGCTATGTAACTGCAGGTTCTGTGTTGACAAATCTGAGCACTTTGCTCTTTTTTTTCTTCAGAAACAGAACTGAATACTGAAAATGTCACTGTGTATCTTTGCTACTGTGTGTGTGTGTGTGTGTGTAGGCTCAGAGGCTGTGTAAGCGCTGTGGTCAGGCCTGGCGTGCTGCCACTCTGGAAGGCTGGAAACTGTATCATGACCCCAACATCAACGGAGGTCGACACAAGCACATACTAACTACATTAATATTACTTAAGTTAAATAGGATTTAAAGGGATAGTTCAACCAAAACTGAAAATTCTGTTATCATTTACTCACCCTCATTTTCCATGAGACTTTCATTCATATTTGATTAAGATATTTTTAATGAAACCAGATGCTTCAAAAAGTAGACACAATCCATATGATTGAGTGGTGTATTCAAAAAGAATGACAAGAGAGAATGAATGATGGCAGAATGTAATTTTCAGGTGAACTATCCCATTAATTAGAAGGGTTAAAATGTGACTGTATGTCCATCCATGTTATAACAGTAGTGTGATTCGTAATTCACATGGTTGAACACCTTGTCCAGGAATTTTAACATCTTGAAAATATATTACCATTATTTTTAAACTGTCATGTTAATTATTTAACTATAGTAAAAAAAACATTTTCTTCTAGTTATCAATATTGAATTGGCAAAAAGTTGTTTTCTTTTCTTTATTAACTCACTTTTCTTTTTGAGTGAGTAATTAATGACAGAATTTTCATTTTTGGGTGAACTATCCCTTTAAGTACTCTGACATGGGCTTTTTTAATTTAGCAAAAAATGTGTTGTCTTTTAAAATACACTGTTTTTTCGCATAGTATAGGTAGCTTTTTATATATACCTTGCACTGGGTAACATCAAGTCTCAAGAAATTAAAAATGAATAATTAAATTAGGTGAAATGTCTGTACTTAATTAAGCTTCTGTGAATGTTTTGGTCATTCTGAAAGATTCTGCTTTGTTTTGCTGTATCAGGAGCAGTTCAACAAATATGAAAGAGCCATCTATGCTGCACTGAGTGGAAACCTCAAACAGGTAAATAGTCGTCTAACTGTTTTTCCTCTTGTTTTTAGTCATTATTTGAATATGTCCTCATTTCCTGCAGCTGTTACCCGTGTGTGAGTCGTGGGAGGACACGGTGTGGGCGTATTTCCGGGTGATGGTGGACACTCTGGTAGAGCAGGAAATCTGTTCTTCTGGTCTAGGCAGTGAAGAGCTGGAGGAGCTGCCCAGAGAGTTCCTAGAGACCAAGTATGACTATAAACACCCTCTAATTTCCATCCTGTATACAGTCTTTATATCCTTTTCCAGTAACTGATTAATTCCATCATGTGGCTTTTTTAGTTGGACATTGGAGAAAGTCTTTGAAGAGCTTCAAGCAACAGAATCCAAAGTAAGAGTGAATGAATGAGGTTTCTTTTGTAAAAGACTAAATTGATTGAAATTGTTTATTTTCTGATCTTTTCACACGTGTTATGTTGACAGAGGGTTCTGGATGCAACTAAGGAACATTACCATTTGATTCAGAAGCTTGTTATTCTTGGAGATCTTGATGGTACGCTTTGAGAACAGATTTTTGAAAAATCTCACTTTTTCTTTTTGAAAAGTTTTCTTTTTAAGTTCAGTGTTTAACTTGTGTTGAAAGGTCTTCTGGAGGAGTTCAATGATTGGTTGGGAAGAAGTACAGCTTTGCCAGCTCATCTGTTGCGCTTCATGTCACATTTAGTGTTGTTTTATCGCAGTTTGGGCATGCAACTCAAGGTACGTACATTATATGCATATATTGTTTGTTTTTAGATTATATTTCTCTTCATGTGTCTAGCTTATTGCTTGTACAGATAAATACATTCAAATGTTTGATGCAGACTCACCATTGTGATCTGTGTTTGTCAGGTGGAGGTGTGTGTAGATGTCCTGAAAGCCTACACCTCACTGTTAGTAAAGGAAAAGCAGGTGGATCTCATTGCGTTTTATGTCAGTCACCTTCCTGCTGACATGGCCGTGTCACAATACGCTCAGTTCCTGGAGGAAGTCACTGAGACTGAACAGCGCAAACACTGTCTGGGGCTGGCAACACAAGCAGGTGAGGTCAAAGGGTCTTGTATCACAATGGAAAGGGTTTATTTTGCAATGTGTACATTAAATGTTTATTACATACTTATTACACATTGATATTTTTTGTGGTGTTTAGGTTTGGACGTAGCGGCAATCACAAAAACAGTAGTAGAGACCATCAGAGAGAGAGACACAGATGAGTTTGCCCACCATGACCTGACCCCTGCACTAGATACAGCAACTACCGTGGTACAAATGAACTGCTAAATGTGTACATTTATAAATCTATATCCAATTAGCAATTGAATTAACACAAAATTCTTCTATTCACACAGGAGGATCAGCAGAAGATTGATGTCATTGACTGGCTTGTGTTTGATCCCGCCCAGCGAGCTGAAGCCCTTAAACAGAGCAATGCCATCATGAGGAAGTTCTTAGGTGAGACTTTTGCGGCTAAATTATTATATTAAGATTAGTGCTATCAAACGATTAATATACATGTATGTGTGTGTATTTATATATGCATAATAAATATACACAGTACATACACATATATTCTGTAAACAAAAACTTTTATTTTGGATGCGATTAATCGCGATTAACAATTTGACAGCACTAATTAAGATGTAACTGAGCTGTAATTGATAGTTTTATATTTTGATATTATAATTGATTTTCACTTATAAAAAATCAACAACATTTGGATGTAGTAATGCGCACAGGTGTAGCAGAAAACATTTGGTTCGTATTGGCATTTTCCTCTCTGTCACTTGTAATGATTAGACATAAAATAATGTCTTCAGGATCGTTCATACATGTGAGAATCTAACAAATAGTTGTAACCTGGCTCAGAGGAAGGTAAGAATCATGTCTTTTAGGCAGCTTTTTTGGTGATTAAGGGAAACGAAAGTTTATACCATTAAAAACAAGCTTTTAAGGTTAGTTTACTCCTAGGTCTTAGTTAGGTCAGTTAGCTTAGATTAGCGACATTGGCATTTCATTGATTCACATCTAATGTTCCTCGTTTGCCGTAGCATCTAAGAAACATGACGCTGCTAAGATGGTCTTCGCCAAAGTGCCGGAAGATTCTATGCGGGAAATCTACCGCCAGTGGGAGGAGCAGGGAATGGACACGCCTCTTCCCGCAGAGGAGGAGAATGCTATTCGTGAGCATCTGTGCATCCGTGCGTATCTGGTGAGGAGCTGCATCTTTGTGCAACACTGAATTGTCTGTCACTCTATTGAATGTAGTTACAGCGAGATGATCTTACTGTGTTTTTTTTCCCCCACAGGAAGCTCATGAAGCGTTTAATGAGTGGTTCAAGCACATGAACTGTCCTCCGGTGAAACCCACAGCACCTGCTCAAGCGAAGTTTACAGAGAAGGTGGCCCATGAGATGAAAGAAGCAGAGTACAAGGTCAGAACAGACCGTTCTCACAGTGCCGTGAACACTTCTAGCTTTTATCTTTAATGGCTTTTCTTTGTCACTTCCTCCAGATAGAGTATGAGAACTGGCAGGGCCGTCTGGGAGCGCTGACAGAGGATGTGAAGGAGAGGATCTATAATGTGCTGCTGTTTGTAGATGGAGGCTGGATGGTGGATGTCAGAGAGGTGAATAGGTTCTCTATTAATTTACAGGTTTGGCAAACACAAATTAATTGTAGTAATTCTTTTTTTTTTAATTCAGCAAATGCATTTTGAGTGTAGGATGTTCTGGATTCATGGTGTGTGTGTGTTTTTGGCAGGACACTGAGGAAGACTCTGAGCGCTCTCATCAGATGACTCTGCTGCGGCGTTTGTGTCTGCCCATGATGTCTTTCCTCCTGTTAACCGTACTGCAGCGCACTGAGCACCACCAGGAGAATCTGCGTCTGGCTGACATCATCACGTCTGACCAACACAGACTCTATGAGGTGTGATGTGAGAGCCCTTTAGAGAATGATTGTAAATATAGACATGAATAGCACATGTCAGTAAGACTATATTGACTCAATTTGCGTGAGATCTCTTCTGATAACATAAGTGCGCATGTTAAATATGATGCTGTCTTGTTTTAACGTTCATTCATCTGACCTGTCTTTCTTTTTGTCAGGTTTTCTCTAAAGACGAGCTGCAGAAGTTTCTCCAGAAGATGAGGGAATCCTCTCTACTCCTGCTGGATAAAGGGCTGGATCCGCTTGGATATGAGATTCAGCCCTAGACACTGCTTGTTTCTCATGCTGTTTATGTCCTCAGAAAAAAATAAAAGCTTTGTAATTTTGTATTTGAATAAAGATGAATTGTTTTGAATTTGGTGAATTGTTCAAGTGGAGAGTCACACTATTTCATCTTTCTTCTTCAAGAGTAATGCATTTCTTTCCATTTGTATCATTTATTTTTTGTTCAGTCTATAGAATAGAATAGAATACCAGACAATTTCTTCCATTCTTTAATAATTTTATTTTATCATCAATGGTATCAAATGAAGTTGTGTATATCATCCACTTATGGTTTTCCTCTTAAAATGTAACTGCATAAACAAAAACGGTAATACTTTAGGATAGGGACCAATTCTCACTATTAACTAGTTGCTTATTAGCATGCCTATTATTAACATATGTGTGCTGTTTATTAGTACTTATAAAACACATTCTACATCCCTAATCCGACCCAATACCAGAACTTAACAACTACTTTACTGTTAATAAGCAGCAAAGTAGTAGTTTGAGGCAAAAGTCATAGTTAATGGTTAATAACGAGAATTGGACCTTAAAATAAAATGTGACCACGAAAACAATACAATTTAAGAATAATATAAAGGTTATTTACACTATACTCGTCAAGAAACAATCCAAACTTTTTTCAGCACCAAACAATAAATGGGACAAGAACATAAAGTGTGATACAAAGGGTTGATGCACCAACATTAGGCTTGTGAATGTGCCATATTTGTGACCTGTTCTGTAGGCTATAGGCTAGACTGGGATTGGTTTTCACTCTACTCCAATCAATATTTTTTTAGGGTAAGTGTATTTCTGAAAGTCGAAAAATACCATGGTAGTCTACTTTCTAGTGCTTTAAGTGCCTTTCCTGTTAGTAATTTTGCAAGCAGTGTCACTCATAAACTTTACAGACACCTCAAGAAATTCTTCATCACTTGCAAATGATAGGATGCATTTTTAGTTTGATTATTTTATGTACATTGTATGTATTGCAGGTAAAAGCTTTGCAACAATTAAGTTATATTTTGTTCTCTGTGTTCTTATATAACGATTTCTTACGTAGACATATGTACATTACGTGTTTTCTAAATAGGGAATCGCTCCGAACCTGTCCGAATCATTCAGACTGAATCTCAAATCGATTCAAATCTGTTTGCTGACCCGTATTACCGATTCATTTAAAATAACCGATTAAAAAGAATGATTAATTGAATCGCGAATGGGGCATCGTTAGTTCCAATTATAACCAACTGGGCTGGCAGAAAATACTAGTCACACGACTTTACTGACTTCTTTATTGAACTTTTCCGACCATAGTGACAGAGAGTGAAGTAAATATAAAGGATGCCGACACCCATATTATTGGAAAGTCTTGTCACAGTTGTCCAATGGAGGCGCAAGTTCATCCGTCAAATCTTAAAGGTCCCATGACATGCTGCTTTTTGGATGCTTTTATATAGGCCTAAGTGGTCCATAGTACTGTATCTGAAGTCTCTTTCCCGAAATTCAGCCTTGGTGCAGAATTTCAGCCACTACGAGCCAGTCCCACCATGAGCTTTCCTTAGGACGTGCCATTTCTGTGTCTGTAGCTTTAAATGCTAATGAGGAGGAGAGAGGCGGGGCAACTGCCATGCTTCGCTCGTTTGCAAGACATGATGTCTCTCGAGGAAAAAAAAATATTGCGCTCGCCTCGCACGGTAGTAGCTCATTTTCTCATGGGCGGGCCAAATTCTCTGGGCGGGCAAAGCAGAGAAAGGGGAGGTAAACTTTCCCCGTTTGACGACATAAAGGGAAGATTCCAGATTGGGCCATCTGAGCTTTCATTTTCTCAAAGGCAAAGCAGGATACCCAGGGCTCGGTTTACACCTATCGCCATTTCTAGCCACTGGGGGACCATAGGCAGGCTAGGGGAACTCATATTCATGTTAAAAAACCTCATAAAGTGACATTTTCATGCCATGGGACCTTTAATTAAACGACACAAGCTTCGTGAGAGGAAAGCGTTTGAGTCATGCGCAGAGTCACACCACTAAACTGATGAAAGCGGCTGAGGTGGAAGACCTAAAACCTGCAGATGGCACACAACTCACACAGTAACTCCGCATCTGTAAGTTACTGAAAAACCACACGCGAAAATTATTTGGGTTTCACTGAACTTCACGCTGTGTGATGATAACCATATTTCGCACTCAAACACAAGACTGTGTAATTGTGGCCACTGAAACTGGCTTGATATGAAAAACCTTATTTGAAACAATATTCGACAAAATTACAACAGTAAACCAATTACTTTATACAATATAAATCATTAAAAAAAAGCATGGAAATTTTTTTGTCACACACACACGCACGCACGCACGCAAAACTGTTGTGGCCAACAGACTTTTTAGTCCCAATCTCCCTTTAATTACTAAGGCGATATGGCAAAAATGATCATATTAGATTTTTTTTTTCAGGCAGCGTTTTAAGACTATTTTGCAAGTTCCAAATTTCCCCATTAAAAAATATAGCCCTACAAGGTAACAAAACAAAAGAAAAAAGAATGACAGAACATTTACAGTACCTTACCTTTCATATAGCCTACACATTATTTTTGTATTCTATCTACTGTATTTATTTGTACAGCATGAATTATGCAAGTGCTGTGAATTCTTTGACTGTGTTGATCCAGTCAATATTGAAAGTCGCGCCAAAAGGGAAATGGCTGTGTTGACCTTGTTAGCTTCTTGACATCAAATTGGGTCTTGGGTTGAGTTTCACAATTTGAGTTGAATTACTGAAATAAATGAACTTTTCCACGACATTCTAATTTATTGAGATGCACCTGTATATACACACGCACACAAACACACACATGTATATACACACAAAATGTCTGTAATCATGAAATAAATGATGGTTAATTTAATATCAATGTTCTCAATTTCATTTAATGAAAAAGCAGCTTTGTCATAATTGCAGCAAAAATACTAAAAACTGAGCAGAGTTTTTGAGTCAAAAAGATTGAGAGTCTGAGTGTAATTTAAGTTAAAACATGCCAATTAAAGCACATTTTGCAGTGTGTAAGTGTAGAGTTGCTCTGCTCAACAGAAATCAATAAATAAACCTAGGCGGAACAAACATATACCTCTAAAAACATAAAATCAATCCCTCCCTCCAGTAAACAGCTGTAAAAGTGGAAGAGAGGCATTATGGGAGGCTAATGGGATGGATGAGTGATTGATCTGCAGTGCAGATGGGATATGTGTGAGCTTCAAAGTCAAGCCCATCAGAATGCTGGAAGAATGACATTATGACACTAATACATACTGACGCTTCTCAACAGTAATGAATTAATCAGTAAACTCATTAATAAATTTCACAAGTAAGAGTGCTGTTGTTCTGAAAAAGTTAGTATTGAGTAACATACTGTCAGTAGCTTTGTCTGTTTGTGGAACAACCAGTGCGAAATCAATCATTTTAAGTCTCACAATAATGTAAAAAATCCATGACAGGCAGAGTGAGAGCCAGTCTGGAACGTTACACTGAATTTGTGATCAATAATGTTAATATTATTATTATTATTATTATTGTTGTTGTTGATATTATTTTATCAGTATACCAATACCAACTAGAGTTTTCAGTTCAGGTTCTGATGTCAAAGTGTGAAACAATAAAAAAAATCACCTTGAGTTCAAATAAGGCCTTATACGTGTAAAATCAAGATTAGCACAGAGAACAACGTGACCAAAAATAAATAAATAAAATCAATTGAAACACCCTAGGAGGTAGACTGTTCATTATTGTCACAGAACAGTGCCAGATGTGCAGGACACAAGATTAAAGCACATCTTCCTGATAGTGATCCACAGCCGGTCCTGTGGGTTGTTGTCTGTGTGAGCTGAGAAACCCATCTAAGTTGAAATCACTCACTCTGACAGGAGGCCAATTGCTTGCCAGGAAGAAAGAGTACAGTGAACCCTGGTGTGTCAGCCATACGGGGGCGTTTCTTAATCTAGCAGATTCTCCTGCTCTCCAAATCAGCAGAGGTTTGACAAGTTTGTTAGGGTTCTTTAACAGGCTGTTTCCCAGGGGGTTGGTTGAGCACTCTTCATTCGGTGTTAATAAGGGTCGTACTGCTTCTTGGCTGAATAGATAGACGTGTTTGATCTCGCCACAGGAAATGTTAAAGAACATCCTGTGTGTTTGAGCAGCCTAATTAGTAAAGACTGTTCATTTAAAAGTGTTAATTTAGGGTGCATGAAAAAATGAAAGCAGATAGGCCTTTTAAATCTCCATATTTGTGTGTAATGAACCAGAATAAAGAGCTGTCTAAGAGAGGAACATTGAGACAGAAGCCCACTTTCACTGAAAATGACAATGGAGGCATCCCAATATGTGATGTCTTTTCTTGTATGTCTTATAAGCAGATTGTATTTATTTTGATATTTTTAGTTTGCTCTAACAGAACACTTGCTCACTCCTGATAATGAATAATGTTAGTCCTGCATCTACCATTTATTACATAAAAAGAGCAGGGCTCGCAAAATTTCAAAATCCCTGGTAGCCCTTCGGGCAGGTACTCTTCAGATTTTGGTAGCCCGAAAATTAATTTCGCTAGCCCAAATAAAAAATTTTTTTTTTTAAATATAGAAAATCAGATTGGAGTTTAAATGTCAATCAAAAATATTTTCAATACACAATTATGAAGGAAGGAATTTTATTTCACTATTTACAGGGTATCTGCAGAATTAAAAAAAAACATAATTTAAGGCAATTTATGACCCATTTTAAGAGCTGCACAAGTAAAATGAACACAGTATTAGTGGGGTTGGACAATGTCTGTGGTAACATACCGTACTGAGCCATAAAATTACATGATGTACAGTTCAGATACAGGTTTTCACAAAAACAAAAATCTTATACAACAATATTTCAGCCTTTAGACCATTTATATGAAAAGGGATAAATCAAGCATATAAATTATTATGTCAATTTAAAATGTATAAATATTACTGTCTTCATTGTTTAGATTTTTAGAAGGCACATTAACTTCTTTCTCATTTACAATTCTATGTGTTTGCTGCATAAAAACATGAGTTGATATTTGCATTGATCAGACCATAAACAGCAAGAAAGTCTTGTTGGAAATGCAAATTCATTCTCTGCCACGAGGTGGCGCTTTAGGAGCGCTGAAATATTGCGGTTTCCCCGGTAACGGCT